ATGAAGTGTTTTTAACCTTCTGGTTCAAGCTTGCCTTTCAGCTTGATTCACTGTGGTGTCAGCAATAGATGGCCAAGTTTAGTAATTCTAACCTAGTTCTCTCCAACTTACAGTGCTGAGATTTCCTTGGGGCACAAAGAAGAAAAATTTTCTTCCAAAGTCTCATTTTTATAACTAGAACTCAGTTTTTCTGACTCACTAAAGTGCCACAAACCAAATTGTCATATAAGAGTTTTCTGAGTCTCCTTAATGGGGGAAAAAAAAAAGAAATTCATGCAAGATATATATTTGATTAATAGGCTAAACTGATGTGCTCCTAAATTTAAAGAAACGCGGAGATTTACATTTTATCTTTGTGTTAACAATAAAACCTTTCCCACAGTATTCCAAAATAATTTCTGTTGCTTTCTGGACAATAGTATTAATCAATGTAGGCCCTAGAACCAGATTATTCCCTAAAGTAAGTTGTATCTTAAATACACTTTTTTATATATCTGAATCACTTGCTTTGGGAACTGTTAAGGTTACAAGAAATAGGGAAAGCACATTATAACCTCTACTTCAGTTTAGTAAGAGCTGATTATTCTACAATAATTTTTTATTACAACAGCAACCTTAAATAGAATAATAAGAGCTAACACAACATTGAAAATCAACTATGTGTGTGCTCAGTTGCATCCGACTCTTGGTGACCCCATGGACCTCCATGCTCCTCTGTCCATGGACTTTTCCAGACAAGAATTTGGAAGGTGGTTGCCATTTCCTACTCCAGGGGATCTTCCCGACCCAGGGATTGAACCTGCATCTCTGGTATCTCTTGCATTGGCCAGCAGGTTCTTTACCACTGTGCCACCTGGGAAGCCCTGTGCTTCAACTATACTTCAATTTTAAAAAAAGCCAACATTTCTTCAATGCTCACTACAATTACAAGCAAATATTAACTCATTCAGCCTTGACAACAACCAGCAGGTAGTGTCATTATTCTATTTTACATATAAGAAAGCTTAGACACAGAGAAGTTAAGAAATTTGTCCAAGTGATAAAACTCGAATTTGAATCCAGTCCACGTTCTATTTACATGCAATATATCTTAAATAAATTTACCCTCAATAGATATTGCTTAAGCTTCACAAAGATGTAGTTTGAAAATTTAGCAATGGTGATAGAATAATAGTATATGATGGGCATTTCAGATATTCTTTTTCTTTGTAAAGGGATAGTTTTGGAGTATGAAATCTTTGGTCTCCATATTCACCAAGCTAAAGTCTTTTGAGATAATCAAGACATGTTTAGTCCATTTTTCCAGGTTTGTGGGATAAGGATCCTTGAGAACTAGGGATTTCCATAAGAGGCTATTTTTGAAGGATTGGCCATCTACAATCCCATTGGACACATATGATGATCCTTCCCCTTACCTCAGTAATAATGTCTCAACTCCAGAGTGGGTTTCACTATGACAGTCACAGGTCCACAGTTACAATGTGTAGCAATAATTTTTCCTTCCACACAAGGGATTCTTAATCCCCTAAATCCCCTAGCTTCTACAAAGAACATGTACTTCATTCCAGCAGGCTTTATCATTCCATGAATTTCAGCGTGACACTGCTAGGTCATAAAAGAGCCATTGGAGGATAGAACTTCATGGCTGAGAGAAAACATAGACATCTTTTAGTCCAGCACCTTTACCTTACAGATAAGGAAATTGAAGTCCAGGGAATTAACTGCCTGACAACTACTTAACAGAACTGGGACCAGATCCTTTAACTTCTGATTCCTAGTAATTTTTGCCTTGCAACATACCAACACTTTGAGACCTTCATATGGACACAAAGTAAATTCATGAAAGAATTAAATTTCAAAATTCTGCAATAGTTCACCTGGAGGTAACCAATGCTTTTGATGTATTATAATTATTTTTCTGTTTCCAGTCTCTTAACTATTTGAAATCAGTGGCCACTGGCTAAAAATTCTCAGAGGCTTCATGTTATGCAAGGACTTTTATTAGAATTGAATATGATAACATAGAATTTGTCTTAATTATACAGATAACATACCCTCCAATGTACCTAATTTACTTCTTGGAATTAAACATGTTAGTAATATTGATTGAATATTTATATGTGCCAGGATCTTAGAGTAACAAGAGTAGCCAAATACTAACTAGCTGATTTAAAGTTTTCTCACTTGGCTTTGCAGTTATAAGACAAAATAAAAATTCAAAATTTTAAGATGAGATATTAAATTTAAAAATTCTATGATGACCAAATATTAAAACATATAAGTACAGATAGTAACATGCTATAGGGGTTAAGGGCCCACACATTTCAATATTTCTTTTCAAGACATTTTTCCTCCCAAGGAAAAGATATCACACATAAAATTTTGTTCCACTAGAGATATGTATAGATTAGATTAGGATTTCTAAGTGAATGCTGGTGGTTGTGAGTTTTAGTTTTTCAAGAAGGTTAGGCATCCCACCCAGTGAAAATCATTTGGGAAAAAAAGTCTGTATTTCCAAGAAAATAGAAAAGCTACACTCTCCTCTCCCCCAAGAAACTATCGTAAGTACATAATACAGAAGAAAATTACCTTCTAGGTAGGGATCAGATTGTAACTGAGGTGTCTCTCTTGATAATTTCATACAGGTCAAGTAGTTAACAATTCTAAAGTAGAATCACCTACATTCGTTTTTTATATATGTAGGAAGATCCTCAATATGGAACCTCAGTATACCGGAGGAAAATCATAAAAGAGTATAAATATTCTACAATATTGTAAAGTAATTAGCCTCCAACTAATAAAAGTAAATGGAAAAAAAAAATATGAAAAGTGAAAGTGAAACTGAAGTTGTTGAATCAGGTCCAACTCTTTGCGACCCCGTGGACTGTAGCCCACCAAGCTCCTCCTTCCATGGGATTCTCCAGGCAAGAATACTGGAGTGCGTTGCCATTTCTTTCTCCAGGGGATCTTCCCAACCCAGGGATTGAACCCAGGTCTCCTGCATTGCAGGCAGATGCTTTAACCTCTGAGCCACCAGGGAAGCCCAATATAAAATTTCAGCATAAACAAATATTTATTATATTAGAATATGGAATAGAGCTTAATTTATAAAGTTAATTTTCAAAACTCACTTCTAAATTGGTTTAGTATAAATTTTGTCTTCACTTAAAATTTCTTGGCAGAGCTTATTAGCAAAATGATTAATTATAGTATTACTTTCACTTCATCAAGTAAACCAAGCCACTGAATACTTAACGTTAGACTTGCAAGCATCACCCCCACATATGACCTATATTTACCTCTCCTACAGAAAAAGATGGAGAAAACCATTTCAGAGAACTAAATGGTTCCTAATTTGATGCTAACAATATGCATAAATATATTTTCTATATAAAACTATAACAGTGATTTGAAATTTTTTCTAAATAATTTCTAAAAATCACTTGTTTTTCAAAATGACTATCACAGTTCAAGTAGGCTTGTTCTGCTAATTCCATTTCTCCCCATCACCAAAGTACTCACATGGAAAGTAATATTCAGTCAATAACTTGCATATCTTGCAAATATTACCAAATATCTATTTATTTAGTAACACCTACAGATGTGGAAAATTATTGCATTCTTTTTTCATAATTTCAGAATTCATTCTTTTTTCATAATTTCAAAATTCATAAATTTTGAAGATACAGCAATATCTAGCCCTTTGCTTTTACATGTATATAACATACACAAAGAGCAACAGTAGATCAGCTTTTCTAATATTAAAAAGCCAAAGTTATAGTGAAAGTTCCATGTCTTGCAAGAATGTTATTCACTATAATCTAATTATGGAGGAAACAGTCTGATAATACCTGTTTACAGTAGCCTAGCCACTTGATATCAATTACTCAGTTATTAAATATTTACTGAGGCCTTCTGGAAGGCTTTGCCCTTCCTCAAAGAGATTCAATTTAATTACAGAGACAAGAAATAGACATAAAATTTAAAGTAGCAATATTAAAACTTCTGCCTATCCACATATCCATGAAAAATAAGGAACATAGGAGGTCACATGCTATAGGAGTTTAGAGGCAAGAACTCTCCTTGTGGACTTGGATGGTCTCAAAGGACCACACTAGAAATGTAGTTTTGAACTGATCTCAGTGAATGGCTGATTATAGAGTCATGAAATGGCTGCTTTAATAGTTATACTCTATGCACCTTAGCAATAATAGTTTTAAAGCACTCAATCCTAAATTTGGCTATTTTCCTGCTTTTCCAGAGTCATTTCTTTTAAACATGGGTGAATATTTGAAAAATATAACATTAATTCTAAAGTTAACAATGTTTATAATTATTTCTGGACTGGAACCAAAAACTTTAGAAATATATTTTCAGTTAAAAACATCATGAAAACATATACACACCCATACATACAAACCTGAGATATGATCAGAATACCTTGGTCTATTCTCCTTAAGCCAGAATCACCAGTAATCCTTCTCTTTCTTTCTCTGAGAAATTGCATAGAAACAAATAGGAAATAAATCCACTTCTTTGCAGAGATAATGGCTCACACTTAAAACATACCCTGAAGAATCTCTCCTGAAGACTAATGTAACCAGCTGATATCTGTAAATATAAATTGCAGAGAATGGAATTCTCAAGTGAGAAATTATTTCTTTCCCGTTATCTTCCAGTTTCAGGCAGCAGCTTTATATAATGATTTGGATTGCTGAAGTCCCTATTTAGTTATTTGTAAGAACACTCTACTTTATTACAAAAGTTAACGTATATAGCTTTGTTAGGGAACGGGCTATATATTTAATGTCCATTCAATGTTTTGGGAATCATCAATTGCTTGCTTTTGTCTGGTGTGGGAGTCATGTTGTGTTAAGTGCATCACAGCCAAGTTAAAAAGCAGATGTGTGGTTTGTGTCTTTGTCCATTTAGTTTTCTGTTTAAACCAAAGGGCATTATAGCTGAATATAACAAACCCTGATTTTTCCTGATGCGTGCAGATCCTCCAAAGTTTAATAGGAAATGGCCGAATATTTCTTCCCTTGAGGTTTCTAACCCAAAACAAGGTAGGAGCATGTCAAATTCCTACTGATATAAAATCCCACATGTTTAGGGGGAAAATCCCATATTCTGTTTTTTTTTTTTTTAAGCACTAAATAAGAGCATTATCACCAATGCCATGCCTTTGAAAGAATCATAATTCAAATATTTTTTTCTAATATGGAGTGTCCCAGAAATATTATAGCAAAAAGTATAGAAAAGATTAGATGCCACAGAAGCTATAAGACCTTTATCAAGTTTACATTGAATGTCAGCCAGTCCCAAGAGAAGTCTAGTATTTGGTTGCCATCACAGTGGGGAATGTAAATAATACATCTTAAAAACTTTTGAGTGGCACAAGTGTCCTTCCACTGTCTCCCTTTTGCTTTGCTTAGGTAAACTAACTGGCAGTTTAGTTGTATTGAGGGTCGGGAAAAATAGGTAGAGGCAGTTCTGCAACACCTAAGAGACCTGTTCTGTTGTTTTTTTTTAAACTATGGTTCCGTATTGATTGACAGAAATTTGGATCTCTTTCTCTCCCCCTCTGCCCCTCCCCTTCCATTCTACATCATAGTATATTTTCTCTGGCGAGGCTTTTCCTCTTTTAATCCTGTATCAATTAATAATTTCTGTTAGGATTAAGAACAACCTGTTTTCTTTCTGTCCTTAGAGCAGTAATTATTTTCTGACTTCTAACATCATAAATAAATAAATAAAGGAAACCAAAGCCAGCAGTGTGATTACACAGGAAGAAATAGAACCTTTAAAAAGTAGCCAATCAAATGCATAAGATGCAGTGTAATGTTAAAATTACATTAACATCTAGCCTATAGATATATATAGACATGTATAAATAGTTCATATTAATAGAAAATTGTCTTCTTTTGCGTCCTTTCTTCTCACACACACAAAAAAAGGCACATCTTTGGCTTCTACCTTCCTACGTTATATACAGGATGTTCCTTTTAAGCTCTAATGAATACAGATGGAAGAGGAAATGAGCAAAAGGAGGAACCGGGAAATAGCTGCTAAGCAAAACAAAATATATTAGCAATTTGTTGAGGAGTCAAATTGGAAGGGCTGCTTTTTCAGTCCTTGATCAGAGTGATGAAATCAAGACTGTCCTAGATACATATATTACTAGCAAATAGAATTATCTTAATCATCTGCTCCAAATGATTTTTTTCAAGTTTCTACATACGTATGTGGAAGAAGAAATACAGATCAAGCTCACCCCATTAGTATAATTCTACGAAGACTGTGGGGAGTTTTAGTGGCATTGTTCCTTGGCGAGTTCAATGAGAGCATCTTCAGTGAAATGTCACTCAGTATTTCCCGTTGAATTTCATAGCTCAACAAATTATACAAGACAGGATCTAAGACTTAACACTTCACAGTGAGTTTTCTGCTGAACAAGATTATGCATTGTTCAAAACTTGAGTTTTGTGCTGAACAAGATATGCATTGTTCAAAACCTAAAAGAGACCCTTTTATTACTTTTGCTATATTTTCTGAGTGTCACAAGACTAAAAGCTTTCAGAAATAATCTTTAGTTAATACTAGTTGCAGTTTTTTAGAATGTAGATAATGAGTTCAAATAAGTTTATTTGAGAGGTGCACAGTTGAATACAGTGCTTGAACTTGAAATTTTAGCCAAAGGTGTACTTTCTGTCAGAGGTCAGTTCTGTGCAGATGTAAGTTATCTGGTCAACATCTGCAGAAAGCATCAAGCTCTATCCTGTTTTTGCTACTTTCACAAGTGACTCCTCATTTATAACTGAAAAAGAAAAGCAGGCAAACTTAAAAATTCCTGCCATTAACAAACCGGTATCATAAGAGTAACAAATGTTAGGAAAAGACTACATTTCTGAAAGACAGATTCCAAATGACTCTGAGGCTGAGATCCAGGATCTGCTAAATGGTTGACCATTGTAACTGTGCTCTGTGATGTCTAATCAGTTCAGCAAAAGTAATCTAACTGGTTTATATGCAGATGGGCTACTGCACAGAGAGAAAGACATGGTGAATTGAGTTAATGATGTTACTAATTAATTCAACAACACAACTACTATTTTAAGAGAAAGACAATAGAGGATCCTAATATCCATAATGTTATTGACATAATCTGCATAACTGGATTATTGATTTAATGGTAATTCTTTTTGCATTTGAAAATAAAGCTTCCAAACTTTATTACTGACAAAGTCAAACCATTTTCAGCCAAATACAAGCTTTCTCTGTAATCAAAATAAACTCCAAGAGGCAACAAATACAAACAGTACCTTCATTTAGGGCTACTTTTCAAGTGGGTTGATGATAAGTAATTATAATTTGAACGTTTCACTGTTGTTTCTAATGTGCTGTTCATTCTTTTAAACCTATCCAGTTGCTCCCAAATTAGCTTTGTCAACAGTTTCTTCTGTTCAAGTTGCAAACCACAAGAGAGGTAGGAATTCTTGGATTCATACAGTGATTTCATGGTGTTATGTGTTGTGAAACATTGCACTGTATGAATCTGGAATATCTGTGAAGTGTACCCATCAGCTTATTGGTGAGGCATGTTGATTGATAATGATCAATGCATCGAATAGTACTGAGTACTGTCATGAGAGGAAAAAAAGCTTCACATGAAAATTTGACTGCTGCAAATTTAAAATGCTGCAATATTTGTTTTCTGAAAGATTAATGTGCGAGTCAGAATTATAACACTTTAGGTTCCTGTTTCAAACATGAATGTTAGAGCTATTAACATTGTTACTCATTTGCATTGAAAATAAGGAAACTCACAGTAAGTTTCAAGGATGCTTTTCATGAGAACAGAATGGTAGGTTCATGTACGGTGCCCATTTGACAAATGAAATACCTTGGAATTTCCACTTCCCAACATTGTTTGAATGGAATTTGAACAAATACCAGTGAAGAGCTACACTGGATTTAGCGTTGATTATGACCCAAAAATAATAGTTACGTTACTTTCTTCAAATGAAAGCGAGCAGAATCTCATCTGTGACTCATGAATGGCCCATTCCAGCTGGCATCTGTCATCACATCTTCACAGACTAAAGATTTTTCAGGAAACATAAAGACTCCTGTTTTTATTTCACCATTTTCCTTTAAATGTCCTATGTGACAGGTGTCTTGTTTTCCATCCTTGACTGTTGGGTACATGTCATGTTTCTTTTGGGGGGAGGTTGCTGTTTTTGTTTTTCATAAAACATCTCTTACAAAGAAATATATTTATTAACAATATACGAATTTGGTTTGACCCACTTGGTGAAAATGATAATAGCTTCCCTATTCCTTACTGAAAAGAGTCAAATCACTTTCCAGATTTTAATCAACTTGAACTGGTCCTGCTGTGGCATATACAGTGAAGGAGGAAGCTGGTCAGAAGATGGGAAAGGGAAACTGACAGGATTTAAACCATGTCTTAAACTTTCCTCACAATGTGCTTTTACATAGCAAACACTGACGGTGCCCTTCCGAGGGGAATCCAGATGGATTTGAAATTTGGAGAACTAAGTTCTTCAGGAACAGAGCAGCCACAGGTTGACAGGTTATCAAGCCTATCTGGGCATATGTGTGCATAGCACACTGCAGTCATTGACACCATGGTAGTGATGCCGCTCCTTACCTGTGACAGGCAGACCTACAGGGAAACCAAGGAGGTGAAGGAGAAAGGAACCGTTAGAACCTTTACAGAACCCTTCTCTTTTCTGTCATGTCAAAGACTGCACATGCCAGACGCCTCTTGACCTGAAATTTGAGCCTGCATGATTAAATCTCTAGTTTCTTGGGCATCACAGCACTCATGAGATCTGAACACATCTCCACAGGCCAGAAGAAGCCACCTAGTGAATTAGAGATGTCATAGACTAATCTACACTGTTAGCAAATAATATATGTGGAAGGGCTTCAAAAGTTACATAAGGTTGCAAGACAGGTTTGGGGGTGAGGTAGGGACCAGGAAAATGCTGCAGCCACTTTATTCCCATGCCTGGGGGTAGCCCCTGGAGGCTTGGTGACTCTGCTAATGTAGTGAAGGGAAAACGCTCTTTAAGAAATATAGTTCTTTCACCTTCTATTTATCTAAAGTCTTTTCCCAAAATCCTCTCCTTTTGAGTGACTAAAATTAATTTTCACCAGCTCTGACTTTGAATAAGCTTTCCTCACTTGGCCCCGAAATTAATAAATAAACCTACGTATGCCACATTCAGGGTACATTATCTTATATTCTGTGATGTATCTTGTGTTACAGTACAAAGGTAAAATAATATTGGAATTGGAGGAAACATGGGGAACAGTAAGAAAGAAGAGACCAAGACGTTTAATCCTCCTCCTAGTCTTAATATTCTTTTTCTTTCATTCTTTCTCTCTAACCTTTTTTTCTGTAACTTCTACCTACTGAGGCCTTCCCCAGCCAATTTCAGTCAGAAAGTCTTTAAACCTTAGAAGAGATTTGGTTCTCTCACTATCTTTGACAACTTTGAACTCCTTCTACTGAAACACTGCTAGCTTTTATGGCTCTTAGGTAGCCAGCTCTTATGGCTTCCTGGGTGGCTTAGCGGTAAAGAATCCACCTGCAATGCAGGAGTCACAGGAGATGCAGGTTCGGTCCTTTGGTCAGGAAGAGCCCCTGGAGCAGGGCGTGGCAACCCACTCCAGTGTTCTTGCCAGAAGAATGCCATGCACAGAGGGGCCTGGGGGAGTATAGTCCATAGGGTCACAAAGAGGCAGACGTGACTGAAACAACTTATAATGCATGCATCAGCCAGTTCTTAAGTAACATATCATCGTAACTGCCTTATATGATGTCATGTATGTCAGATGGGGGATTTTGCTCCCCCAGGGGACTCTTGGTTGTCACAGCTTGGGAGTTGCTATGCCTCTAGTGGGTAGAGGTCAGGAACGCTTCAGGACGCTTTCCTACATTTAGGAAAACCAAGGATGATTTGCCCCAGATGTCAGTAGTGCTGAGGCTCAGAAGCTCTTCAGGCCCGAGCCTCATTCTTGTTGTCCCCTGGTATAAGGTGGTTCTCGATCAAAATGCATTGCTATGCCACACTATGCAAATGTTTTAGCTTGTCTGCATAACAGTAGTCAAAACATACCTGAAAAATAAAATAGAGTCTGCAGTGTGATTTGAGATTGAAAAGCTGTGTAAAACCATAGCAATTTTTTTGAGAATTTCCTTTTTCATACTGAAATTGATCTGTATAGACATATAATCAACTCTCAGCTAAAATATTTACTAACTCAGTTACAGCTTGATATGTGAGTGCTGTTTTTCTGAACTCTTTAATATATGGAATATAGCCAGACTCTTATGGCATTTAAAATGAATTTAAGCATAACTTTCGTCTGTGTCTTCCTCTGTTTTCCAAAAGAAGATGCCTCAGGATCCTCACTGATTCATTGACTCATTGATTGATTCATTCAACATATTTTGAGTACTTAGTATATGCTCGGTGATGTGTTGAGTTCTGTTTACATCTGTGAACAAAATGGACACACTCTGCACGTGTGTATTTACATTCAAAATATAGGGGAGAAATTTTTAACATAATTTTCAGATACTCTGCTGCTGCTAAGTCACTTCAGTCATATCCGACTCTGTGCGACCCCATAGACAGCAGCCCACCAGGCTCCTCCGTCCCTGGGATTCTCCAGGCAAGAACACTGGAGTGGGTTGCCCTTTCCTTCTCCAATGCATGAAAGCGAAAAGTGAAAGTGAAGTTGCTCAGGCGTGTCCGACTCTTAGCAAACCCGTGGACTGCAGCCCACCAGGCTCCTCCATTCATGGGATTTTCCAGGCAAGAGTACTGGAGTGGGGTGCCATTGCCTTCTCCTTCAGATATTCTAAATACTCCAAAATTTAAATAGGAGGAGGGGGAGATTAATGTGTTTGGGCCAGGGACTGTTATCTCAGATAGAGTAGTCACAGAATTTTCTCTGAGCAGAGACGTAAAAACAAAGTGAAGCAGCAATTCACAGGGAAGTCTGGGGGAGGAGGAGGCCAGACAGAGGTAACAGCAAGTGCAAGGGCCCTGGGGAAGTTCTTGGCATGTTTGCAGAGCAGCACGGAGGCATTGTACAGTGAGCAAGGAGGAGTGTGACAGTGGTGAACCCCTGGGAAGCCAGGGGCCATATCAGCTGGGAATAAATGAACTGAAATTCTGCCTTTTATTCTGAATGAGGCAGGAAGCCATTAGGATTAGGGCAAAGGGATGTCATGACCTAATTTAAGTTTGGAAAGAGATACTTTGACTGCTGTGTGGGGGAGACCATCACATGGATGGAAGCCAGGAAAGCAGTTTGAGAACAACAGCAGTAATCCAAGTACTAAGGATGAGATGGTGAGATATAGAATGTATTTTAAAAGAGTAGTCAAGAGGATCTGCTGATTGGTTGGTTATTGGGGCGGGGGGGGTTGGGGGGGGAATGAGAAAAAGATTGGTGTCAAGAACAACTCCAGGAATTTTGATCAAAGCAATTGGTGGAATGGAGTTATCATTTATCAAGATATAGGGCTGGCTGCTTATGTAAGTAGCAGATTTAGGAAAGATAACCTATGAGCTCAGTTCTGAACATGTTAAAATTGAGATATCTGTTAAACGTGTTAAGTGGAGACATTAAGAAGGCAGTTGCATTTATCAGTTTGGATGAAGTCTCACCAACTAACTGGGAAGTTGGTCTAGGCTGGAAATAACTATTTTGGAAAAGTCAGGTGGCACAGTGGTGAAGAATCTGCCTGCCAGTGCAGGAGAAGCAGGTTTGATCCCTGGGTCGGAAAGATCTGCTGGAGTAGGAAATGACAACCCGCTCCAGTGTTCTTGCCTGGAAAATACCATGAACAGAGGAGCCTGGAGAGCTACAGTCCATGGCATCACAAAGAGACAGGGCTGAACAACTAAGCATGCACACACACACAGAGTATATTGATGCTTTATAAAGTTAGGAGGCTGGGTAAAAAACCCTAGCTCTGGGTTAGCCTAAAGAGCAAATAGGTACAAGGTTTGAGCCCCCAGACATTTGAGAAGATACAAGAAAATACAGAAGAGGGGGGAAAGCAGTGGTAGGTGTGGAAGGAAGTGAACCAAGAAGAGAGTGGTGTCCCAGAAGCCCCCTGATTCGGAAAGGGTTGCCAGAAAGCCCTGGGAGCCCTATTGAAGTTCATGGTCATGAAGTTAAAGTGAGACTTGTTTCGAAATAGTTGGAAAGAGGCCCAGCCACATTTAACTGCTGGGGTATAGACATTGAGAAGTAGAGGGTTGGATTTAACCAGGATCAGATTTTCCCAGGAGTCTGTAATTGAGGGTGGGAATTTGGGGATGAGGGAGATGAGACTATATAAAAGGAAGTGATTATAAGGATGGGCCATGTACTCTATACTTTGTAAAGAAAAAGGGGGGGGGGAGGATGAAATGGTGGGTAAGTGAATTTAGA